AGTTATTGGAAACACCATAATGAGATGCCATTTTATTGAGTCCGATATGAAAATCTCACTTTATTTTTGTTTTTCACATTTTTTGTTTTTATTATTATATAAAGTAATTGAAACTTGGGATTATGGTTTTATATTTTGTATTTTTGTTTAAATATTCAAGATGACAATAATTTAATTAAATAATTAATTTGTCTCTTTTATTTATGTTATTGAAATTTTCTAATAATGTATGTCTTATATTTTGTAAAAAATTTTATTTAAAAAATAAATTATGTGAATTAAAAATTACATTAGTATTTAAAATTATCATGCTCTAAGTAAACATCAAAAGTTTGATTTTTATTAAGAGCATATAATTTGTTGTTTCATAAATATATGTATAATATTTTATATTTAATTTATTATATGTTGGTAAAATTATAGTAATTAATTTAGATTTTATTTTGTTTATAAATTAAAAAAAATTAAGTTATAATTAATTTTTTTTAAATAGATTAAAGAATTTTAAAAAAAATTTATTCATAAAAAAAAAAAGGAAAAATCATATTGACAGCGGGAAAATTTATCATTCCATATTTATTAGCCTATGTTTGGAATAATGTGTAAACTATATTAAGATGACAAATACTTATACATGAAATTGTAATATTAAATTTAAAATTTTATAATAAATATATATATTTTTTTAAAAAAGTATAAAATAAGGAGAATAATTTTGAATAGAAACGAATGACTCTTATCATCTCTGTAAAAACAAAAAATAAAATAAAAAGCAGAAGCAAATATAAATAAATAATCTTAGGGGTGCGATACAACCTGCAAAGTACAAGCTACAAAGTAGTGAATAGTTCGAAGGTCAAATCGGGGATCTACGGCGTAAAATAAATGAACGGCTCAGATTGAACCACAAAAATCCTTACCCATCACCATGCGTTTCCTTTCCTCGAATCATTCATTTCATTCGGCGGATTATTAAAACGACACAGTGTTCATCAACCAATAAGCTTTGCTCAAAAGCAGATTTTTTTTTTTTTACAAAAAAAGCGAAAAGCAGGAGTGTTTTATTTAATTTTAAATTCATAAAGAGAGAGAAATTTTTAAGGCTTTATTTTATTTAATGCATAGAGTTTCACATCGTACAGGAAATAAGCTTTTGTTACTTTGTGCCAAATGGAGGGTCCTTAGCTCTCTCTCTCTCTCTCTCTCTCTCTCTCTCCCGTCTCTTGTCTCCTTTCTCTCTGCAAAAATTTATCTGTTTGCAGAACAAAAAAGACTAATAATCGATCTTCTTCTTCTTCTTCTTTATGTTACTGATTGAAGTGTTTAAGAAGGTAATTAGTTATCATAAGCTTCACTTGCATTGTTTTCTCTTCGTTTACTGAGCTTAACTGAGTAATTAGATTCGGCTTTGGAGGGTTTTTGTTCTCTTGGTTCTCTTTTAAATTCTCTCTTTCCTTTTATCACTGGCGTTGTGTTACTTTTTTGCTTTTCCCATTTTCTTTGTGTTTTACTTAGCGGCTGTTTGTTTGCTGGGAAAGCTGAAGAGAAAGCATGCGGAGTATCTTTATTTTCCTCTTGTATTAAGCTTCGCTGGTTTCCGAATAATGAAAAACCTTAAGTCAACTGAGAGTAGCTTTAAATTTGAGGTTGATTTTTTTTTTCTCACTAACCAAACATAACAGATGTATTTTGCCTCTTCATTTTTTGCCTTGCCTTCCCTTCTTTAATGTGTATTATCTATACCATTTGCGCGACAGTTTTTGTTATTTTCTTTTTGCATGCATTTAAGTTTTAGCATCTTAGCATTTGACTGCGATTACTTGTAGATTCGTTTCTCCGCTTTCGATATTTGTTTCTGTTTCACAAAAGCGCTTCTACTCTAGATGCCTTATGCAGCTTAATTTTGTGCGGTTTAATCAGCTAAGGCTGGATTAGCAGAGCATAGTATTTATTCGTCGGTATTTTGCAATCAAATTTCTGTTCATTTTTCCTACCGATGAACACTTGGGAAATATATTTGTTTGGAAAAAAAAAATTCACAAAGTTACTCTTCCATTATTTTTTTCTTTTAAAAAAATTGAGGCAATGCTCAGGTTGCTCGGACTCTGAGGTGTATGTTCTTGTATTTTATCTATATTATCCGCTGTAAGTAGATGCTTATGGATCTGTTCTATTTTTCTCCGTTAATATTTGTGACGACTTTTTGTTTTGGCATACTTATTTGGCTCTGTAGCCATAATAATAAGTGATCCAGTAATATTTCTCTTTCAATTAGGGAAGTTTCATGTTTAATTCATTACTTCATGTGAATTGTTTTCGTAGTAAGGGCAGCCAATTACTTCAATAAATTTCTTTGTATATTTTGTTTCCTTTGTTGAAAGCTTTCACTAGTCCTTCATATTAATTTATCTGAATCAATGGATGCTTAAATTTCAGTGATTAATTTCACTGATGAAGTTCGTATTTCATTCAAGTAAGCAGGTTGTGAAAGAATTCAATCTTATTTTTTCTGAAGTCTGAACTCGGATGTCTCCACCACTGCATGGTGTGGGCGAGGAGGGTCAGAGCAATGTTACTCTACTCGCTTCTTCAGCCTCCACTGATAGCCTATGCCAGAATAGCTTAGAATTGAAAGAGCGTAACTACATGGGATTGTCTGACTGTTCTTCAGTGGACAGCTCAAAAGCCTCTACTCTATCTGATGAAAATAAAACTGGTCTCAATCTAAAGGCCACAGAGTTAAGGCTAGGGCCCCCTGGATCCCAATCCCCAGAAAGAGATCAAGAGCCTCGCCCTGTAAGCTCTGCACAACTGGATGAGAAGCCCCTTTTCCCTTTGCGTCCGTCAACTGATGGTCACTGCTTTTCATCGCAGAAGACAATTGTTTCAGGCAACAAAAGAGGGTTCTCTGATGTTATGGATGGATTCTCAGAGGTGAAATTTGCTCTTGCCAACAAGAATTTCACGATGCTTTTAATTACCAGACTTAACTTGGAAAATATCAATATTGTGGTGCAGGGGAAATTTCTCTCTAATTCAGAGGTAAATGGGATGTTATCACCCAGGCCTTCTGCAAATTTGGGACTGAAATCGAGCCCTATCCTTGAGAATCTTGGACCTCAGTCGAACAAAACAAAAGAATTAGCGTCACAAAAAGTAGCTCAGGAGAAGCTTCATCCAGCCGGTGACACTAGACAAAACCATAATGGTTCCATAAACAACAATAATGGTCCTCCTGCTACTAAGTAAGGGGAAAGAGGAAAGAGCTTTTTGTGAGAGACTTGGGGAAACAAAGAGAAACTTTCTGATTACCCTTCTTTTTTAGGGCGCAGGTTGTGGGATGGCCACCTATCCGGTCGTTCAGGAAGAACTCTTTGGCTACCACTTCAAAGAACACTGACGAGGTGGATGGAAAAGCGGGACCTGGTGTTCTATTTGTGAAGGTTAGCATGGATGGGGCTCCTTATCTGAGGAAAGTAGACCTAAAGAATTACACTAAATATCAGGAATTATCTGCTGCCCTTGAGAAAATGTTTAGCTGTTTCACCATAGGTGAGCCCTTCTTTTCTTTTTTTCTTTTCTGATAATACCTAATTTTAGCTCGACTATTCCGGTGATAAAGCTTAATCTTTTTAAGTTCCACAAATATATCAAGGAGGTTTGACCCTCTCTTCTAATCTAATCTCGTGAAGGATTTTGAGGAAATATTGAGTTATAGAATTATGCTGAGGTTATGTCCTTGAGGTATCTGTGGATACAGTTACTGCTATTTTTATCTGTCCTCAGGTCAGTATGGATCTCATGGAGCTCTCGGGAGGGAAATGATGAGTGAGACCAAGCTGAAAGATCTGCTTCATGGATCAGAATATGTTCTTACATATGAAGATAAAGATGGTGACTGGATGCTTGTGGGTGATGTCCCCTGGGAGTAAGTTTAATCTCCAATGTTCTGTTTTCTTTGCATGTTGCTGGTCATGTAAGTAGGCCATTGTAAAAGCTGATGTTGTTGAAGGTCTTGAGTCATTGAAATAACAATATGCAAAGGAATTCTGATTTTGCTCGTAAAAGGCATCTCATTTAGCATCAGCTTTTTGTGGGGCGTACAAGAATTTGTGCTATAGGTTAATTGGAGGAACATATCATGTTCATGTTAGTACTGCCTATTGTAGACTGATGGTGATAGAAAAGTGTATACTCAGTGTTGTATTCTATAGATTCATTGTTGCTTTTATGGAATAACCGCAAGCTGAGGGCTGGAGACATCTTGATGTTAGTTTTGGTTTGTAAGAAAGAAGTACACGTGCATTTTCCCCATCTACTGTGTCAATCCCAATCCAGTGCCACTCAAAACCATGAATTGAGAATCAACCAGAAGCTAATAATGACTTCATCTTTATTGAAGAAAAGTTTAATACATCCTTTGTCAAGTTGCAGCCTCAATACTTGATGTAAAGATTAGCTAGCCTTTTTAGCGAGATTCTTGGCTTCAGATTCAATCAGCAGAGTTGAGATCAACACGAATTTCTTTTATTCTCTATTAATAACAAAAGTTATAGAAGTATTTCAAGTTGTTGACATTATGGTTGTGTACTTGAGTTATGTAGCAGTGGTATAATTGTTGCCATGTTAATCAATTTCCTAAACATTCAATTTCTTTATCGACTCAAAAGAATTTGTTATCTTTCTCATCATTTATGATCTGTCCAAATGAAACCATGACAAAACTTATTAAGCTGGACTTGCTTTGATTACTCCAATTATGATAGGATTTGAATTTTGTGCTGCATTCTAATTTGGCTGGATACTTGTTTCAGGATGTTTATTGATACATGCAAAAGGCTCAGGATCATGAAGAGTTCTGATGCCATTGGCCTAGGTGAGTAGTTCTATGCTGTCACTTAACTGTTACAAGGGAATTTCATCCTGCCTAAGCCTTTGTAGAAAGACCAAATATTGGCATCAGACCGCGCAGTCCAGGGACTTGTTCCCTCGTTAGGCATCACGTGATGGATTTTGTTAGGGACTTCACCTGTGAGGATCCTTTGAAATAACTAAGCTGCATTTGATATGTTTGACTTAATTGTTTCGAAGCTCAGAAAATTCAGAAATTTTTTCAACATCAAAAGTAAGTGTGGGAAGTGAAACACGTGTGATTTAGAGAAGTCTGAATTACATGATCATAGTGCATGTAATCAGCCATCTCCATTATATGTGGATTGAATTTATGCCGTACATAATGCTTAATGATCACTTCAGGCAAAACCTTTGAACCAAAGACCTAATAGTTTATTTATTGGGCACATGCAGTGTTTGTATTTATTTTTCCACGTTTCTTTTGTACATAACAAGGTAGGGTTGAGCTTTGAAATCTTTTTTGTATTAGTGAAAAGTGAACTCTGATTTCCTTATAGTAACTGAGCTTGGTCCCATGTCTGATAGTGTTTGTGACAACTTGGTATTTGAATAAGAAATCCACCTATACCCATTATTTGGCTGCCTCTGGTTCCGCCAGTTCTATAGCATAATCCGTATATAGATGAAAAAAAATAGTGAAAGCTGTATCTTATAATCTTGCCTATCTTTCCAGTAGGCTCATGGGGCATGCTTTATTCTGGCTTATGCATATTATGATAATTAGATATGTTATTTAATGTTTTTATTTATTGAGCTCTTTTCACTGAAACTTTCTGTCTCCAGCCCCAAGGGCCATGGAGAAATGCAGGAACAGGAACTAGATGGCAGTAGACATGATTGTTGCTATCCATCCAGCAGTCTTTGTACTTGAAAGACGGGAGAAGAGGAACAAGTCCTTGAACCAGATTCCCAACAGAGCATTAAGGAACTGAGATAGTTGGATGGGGTAGGAAATCATGGTATCTGCTTTTATCGCAACACTATGTTATGTTCTTTTTTTCGTTGTGGCAGAATTCATGTTCAGTAAGCCTGTTTCTACCTTAATTAAGAGTCCAAAACTCCTAAAACCTAGTACTTAGAAGTACTGCTATGATTTTATACTTAAGAGGACTTGTTCCTGTTCCTAATACAGGATCCATAGTTTGTAAAGGGAATTGTTTGAACTTTCTGGTTTATGTGTGTTATATGGTGGCGAAAACTCAACAAGTTGTGTAAAAATTCTCTGGGTGGCTGGCCTTTCGTGTGTTGTTTTTTGCCAGAATTATTTCTAGTCATTAACTTATCCGTGAAGCATTTGATTATTTATATGTATGTTTATAGGTATGTATATCCTTTCTAGCTGGCTGAAATGACCCTATGAGAAATTCAGGTGGGGAAGTGATTTAGAAAAAGGAGAGGATGTTATAATCATTATTGTTTTGATTTCTTTGGTGTGGGGTTGGGGTTTCAAGGTTGGTACATGAAAACTTATTAGATAATGCCAGGACTTTGGATATGCTTGTCGGATAGTAAGGCATATCCCATAGGAGAGCATGTGACGGGTTGCATTATTGTTGTGGTTACTCAGAATAAATAATGTTATGACGGTGGGGACTAAGGAAAGTGGCAAGGAACTAAGGCTGCAATTAGACCATTGTGTGGTAGGGGCGCAAAATGTTAGCCATTGACCTGGAGAAGGGTGACGCTGTCCCAACCCTTCTTTACCCCCAGTGTAGTGTTGTACGTTGCCATGGCCTTTGTCCTAGACTGGCTGGTTAGGTTGGACAATGACTACTTACATGTCCGTGGATTGTTGCACGTGCAATATTTAAAACTATAAAATGTTCCAGTTTCTGTCAATCTTTAAATGCCTAAGATTTAAATTTTCTGGAGTAGTTAGAATTTGTTATAATAATGTGTGAGATTAAATAATATTAAGAATTTAACTCAGGAGTGTATTGGTGGTGATGCAGTAATTAAATTAAATTAAAATTTAATAAATTTATCATGTTTTGTGAGTGAAAAAAAATATTTTGTGGCACAAAGAATTAACAATCTGAATTAGCTCTTTTTTTAATTCCTAATAACGTTAAAAAAAAAAAACGCTGTATGCAAGACAATGACATAAAGCAATTGTTTTCAGTTGGTTTGAGTTTGGATGGGGATGGGGTACCATCCATTCTTGGATCGTTATTACATAACATTAAATAACTGAATGAAGAGGTTAAGATAATTAGTACAACTTATGAGCTTGTATTTTTTTTTTTTATATACATTAAAAGTATAATTTTTAAT